TGGTTTCTTGACAACATAATACATGATTATTAACCGATGAAGAGTGTTATCACATTGCCGGTTTGGTAGAATTACCTTTTATGCAAAAAGTGGCATTTATATAATTTCAGCTTATTTTGCAGACCCATCTAATATTTTGGAATTGATCAAATGTTATTCATTTATATGGTTCGTAAAGATAGCTATTTATAAAACTTACAGTAAGGCATCTTATCGCGCTTTAGGTATGCCAGTACTGAATTCCTTCACGTATGCATACCACTAATGATGATTTTTATATAAGTAGCGAAACCTGACTGGGTCGATCTCATGCGACAAGGTGGCTTAATTGCTTAGAGAGTTCGTCTAGAGTTCGGAGGGCCCCGGGTCCTAATCACTGTCTTTCCGCACGCGTGCATTCTCTCCTCCAGTGGTTCCATATAGATACATTCCTAAGCGAGTTGTAAATAAAGATGACTAATTATAAAAGTTAGTATCAGTTATTTGTTAGTGTTAGTAAAGATGACTGACCACTTATAAAATTGAGTATCAATTAAGGTACTTTACCGCGGGTAAACATCCGTGAAGGAGATTCAAACGGCCGCCATGGTACCATGACGTCATGTGTTGACCAATCCGAAATAATACTTATTTTTAGCTCACTTCTTTACCGCTGAAGAGATGACATGGGAGTTGCTAAGCAAAAGTAAACGTTCGACAGCAGTTTATTGTGAAACCTGCCAGTACCTTAAAGAATATCACTGATCAGACAGAACACCGGTTTGACTACCATTCCATTTGTATCATCCACCAGTGTGGTAATCACATCGTTTTGATAGAATCTCACAGCTATAACAATTTACCAGCCGTGACAAACTATGGACGATAGTTTCATTCTGAATGCAGTGTCTTGGAGTCAATCCAACCAGAAGCAGCACGTATTATTACAGGTTAATCACTTGATACAAGTCATGACATCTGATATAGAGAATCTGGTTTTATAACACTTAATAGAAGAAGACTTTTGCATCAAAATACTACCTTTTATGAAATACATAATAAGAAAAGCTCCTCTCATGTCTATGATATAAGTAAACCGTACATTAACAATAATACTGACTATTTTCATCTTCCCCATAATAGAATGTTTGATGTTCCTATACCGAGAACTCAGTTATATAATGCCAGGGTTTTCCCCAAACTGATGTCTGAATGGAATGATCCAACTTGCCTGTATCCCACAATGACATCAATTAGAGCTATAAAAGAGATGTTTTACAATCAGCTGAAATGGATTCTCAACTCCAATGTACTAATATTTTTAAATACTATAGTGATCGAAAATTTAATATAACCTTTTGTCAGCTTACAAAACTGACCCAGTAACCTGAGTTCATATCTATTTTAATATCATCTAATTGATACCCCTTTCTGCTTACGTAATTTTCCTGTTGAGGATTGTGATCACTTCCTTCTCAACTGTTCCCTGTATGCTTATGAAAGGCAAATTCTCCTGAACTCCATTTCTGCTCTTAATGACACTATTCCATTAAATACTAAGACTTTGTTTATGGATGTCGAAAACTCGATATCAATATGAGTGTAAGTATTCTAGAGATGGTTCAGAGATTCATTGAAGACACTGGACGCTTTTACTAGATTACACTTATTTGTTTATCTAGTTTCACATGACTTTGCTGTGTGGAATGACATCAACACATAATTGTACTGTGTGCTGTCAACAAGCATCATTTGCCTATTTGTTCTATATTGTTTTTATTATAAAGTTTCTGTAACAACAATTTTTCAATTTGCAATGACACGCAATTATCAATATATATATAATATATATAGTACAATATCCATCTTATCTTTTATTCTTTTCTTTTATCTATGTAGAACTCTTAGTATTGTTGTATATATTACTTTATGGGGATCAATTGGAATCCCATGCCAGTTATAGCGTGGGTTTTTTCAGTTTTAATAATTATGAAAATATCATTTATTCAAACGTTAGGTAATTACGATTCGTTCAATAGAGTCCAGATGTCTGTCCTATTTAAATCAAATTCGATCAGAGATCTCAATGACAGACCACGCAGCTGCTGGTATACATTAGTCCTGTCTGAAGACAATCTAACTTATCGTCAACATCACAAATAAACAAACAAAAACTTGCAATCAAGATAAATATTCCGCCCGAAAGTAATGCATTTATTTTCTAACCAATCCAAAAACCACGTAATATCCATTAATCTACGTCTATCATTGTTTTGAGGGGGTGGTCTTAAAACCTGTTTTAGCTTTTATTCCGGCGTGTGTCCGGTGATCTGGATAACGTGAGTGTCTCGCTTTTCGATGAAGCTCCGATTTCCTGCTAAATGTACATTGAGTTTAGATTACGGAAATAGATAGACGGTAGTCATAGGCAATGCTTATTCAAATTGACTGAGACACATTCTGTCGTGGCACATATTTTACCAATATATCAAATTTACATTCGTAAGACCAATTTGTTTTAAATATTAAATACACAGTATGGTCGTTTCGTTTATATTTTTATATGGTAAATTTTAATCAAAGATGTGACATAGATCAATCAAAATAATTTGCAACCGTTTAACCACGATTTACCGTCCGCACTTTTTTCATTTCCTTATATTTACCCTCTCATGGCACTGCCACTATATAACCCTGCCAAATTCAGTTGGCAATCATATAGGCTGTGAATACGTGGACCGATTGTTGACATCATAATTGCTACGTTGGATACCACTGACCCTCCATCCATGGGCGATGGCTGTTCTAATCATTGAACAAGCAAACACGATACATACATTATTTGAACTAAATGCTGAATAATAAAAAGTGTAATTGAATTTTCTATGAGATGAACAGATTCCAAAAAATGGTAGTTTGAATGCCATGAATGCCAACTGAAAGCAGTTCAATACTTAAGCCCAGGTGGCGATTTGTATTGACGTCAATGACTCTGTACCTGCTATCGGACCATAGAACAGGTTAAGAGTACCACTGCAACAGTTAGAACCGTGAAGAATATTTCCCCTTTAGAGATTAGTTTATCCGATTCGGAATAGTCTCTCTCATACATGTATACATGTATACATGTACACAGGATTTAGCAATATAAAGGCGTTTTCTAGCTGAAAGCTACTACCCTTGGTAAGGTGTTCATCCCTCATTTTGATCATTCCTGGATAATAACGTCGGTAAAATGTGTGGTGTTGGTAGTGAATAGGACCCTGGTTATTTTGGTCATAATTCTGTTTCTTGCATTTTGTGTTTATAAGCTTGTTTATTCTTATATTTGTTTTCAGAAAAACACCTCGAACAATTGTATTTCATTAAAATGGATCGCAAGACGCGTTTTATATGGAATATATTCATAGAATATGACTTGATTTATATTTTACATTAGTAGCAATGGTAATGATGTATTCTAACCTGACGGTGCTGTTACCTGAACATGCTGTGTACAGTAGATATATCAGATATCGTTTTGTACCATATTGCAAACGAATGATACTACGGTAATGACACACAAGAACTGGAACGGCAACATATGTAGCTTACGCCACGTTGTGTTTATATCATAACACTTATGCTTATAGTTCATCATGGCTGAATTTTTTCAATAACAAGTATTTAATTCAGAACACATAGTCTTTAAGAAAAGGGACATAGGTGAGCAAAATCATGACGTATATTATTCTCGTATGGCTTAAAACAACAGAAAAATAAATACAATTATTTCAGAACAAATGATGACGTTTACTTAACCAAAATCGTTTGATATATGGCTCATCAAATGTATATTCGTCAGTTAGAAAACATGTTTGTGACATAGTATCCTCTCGAATACATTCCATCCAAATAATCCAACTTGACAAGTCTCGCTATGATCGTTAAAAGATACACACACATACACACACACAACAGAGATACTGCACTCACGCACATACGGGTCTGAAACGTCCTCATATCTACACCAGGGAATCTTTATTACACCAAAATACAATTAAAGTATAATTGAGTTCACGTTCTAGCCTCAACTGATACACTTTATTATACAACCGGGAATCATCACTTCACATTGCTGTATTGGTACATTTAGTGTTGTCGGATTAGCTCTGTACATGAAGTACATTTTGGGTTTTCCTGCCGATAGCCTGTTATTGATACTCTACGGGTATTGATGATAAATAAAAACAATTGTTTACCCTCAAGGCTTCCGGCAGTTCTGATGTTGTCTGTAATCATTAGAATGTGGTATATTGGAAATCCTTTGATATATGGTGCACTTGTACGAGAAATTACAAATACTACGTCACTTTTATAACGTCATACATTTGCATGTTAAGAAATATCGATATATACGACCGTGTTCTAAAAATGTATAACAATTTGATGTAAATTTTGTAAATCTAATAAAGACTTAACAACATTAAGCTTTGCCGAAATTATCTAATTGAATAAAAAATATTTAACATAGTCAATTTGATTAATCGTGCTCAAGTTTATATGATCTGAATGGCAAGAGTTTTCAACAGAATACGCATCGACGACCATGCACGCTAGAATCCACGTACATAACAGCAGATGTAAGCAGACTAAACGCTATATGATGCATCTGTCGGTTACAGTGCTCGAGCCTCATCCAGGTGTAGCTCAACAGCTTCTCAGGTGAGGATGAACATCACAGATGTGAGCTCCTCTCCAGTAGATAACAGGAATTACAAATAGGTGCATCGGTATCGTGGCTATGTGAGCAGGTATGGTGTTGGGTTTACCTAGCAACCCACGTGTACATCGACAGGTGCAACAACTATGTTCATTGTATCGTGAACCTTTTACGTTATACACATTTACTAAGTCACAAGATACACCCCGTATTCTGTTCCTAGTAAATAAGGTATTCATCAAACACGGCCTATAAAAAACTGATGATGATGTTGATGACAACAAATCACAAATTACAAAAACTATTAAAAATAGCTTACCTTCTGCCATGTCGGCCCTCCAACTAACACTGTATACATATCAGACTGTCAGCAACTATACAACTCCGAAGCCCCGCCCCATTTCATTGATCTTTCCGGGAAACTGACAGCCGGAGCACATGGCATGGTTATCACACGGCAGTGGAATTCCTTCACAGAAATCTCCTATTCACCATCAACGCAAACTGCACGGCAATTTAAACATTTCACATCACCTATATATCTTAATGTCAATATAACCTTTTAGACAAAGCTACATGAAAAATACTTCTCTGCTCAAATATATATTCCGTTTAAAGTGTTTTTAATGGATAAAAAAGTATTGTCACACATAATTATATTGGCTTTTGAAATGTCTCCAGAATGATGCTGCCTTCAGGGCTGAATGATGAAAACAGCGACTAGAGATTTAACTCCGAGCCGTAGTTAGATTTAATGACAACGCATCCAAAGGCGAAATTGAACAATTGCGGAAGGTGTCGTCAACGACTTATCAGATTCCTTACTTTTGTCCCAAGACAATGGCGTGCTCCGTTCTCTGTGTACGTTTTGTCTTTCTTGAGTTCTCTCTTCAATCTGCACCCACTCGTAATATTACTGTTGGGCATGCAATACTCCAGTGGCTATTGCTCCCTTCAAAATACATTGCTCTAGACCATTAATGTCTGTAGAGTATCATTATCTATGCGATATTTATTACATATGCGAAGGGCAAATATTGGAAAACGACCACTGCATGCACGTGAATTCGTTAATGCTTATGTAACGATTACTGCATACGCATGCATCTAATATATACATACAAAGCCTAATTCCCGTAAGAAAATCACTACACAGTTCCTATATATAAAAGATTGTCTAAGCTTTCTTTATATACAAAACCTCAAGTTATGTGTGACCTTGGCTACATACGAGTTTTCGTTACATACAGAATGTCAATTTCCTGTAACGATATATATATGTTCATTTGATTCCGTTATACAAGGAATATTATTCCCGTGTGCCGGTCGATGTATATAATATACGTAATTTCGTTACATTCAGATGTCATTTCCTTATGACGATTACAGCACATACCTGTTTTCGTTATATACCTAAGGAAAAGTCCGTGTAAGGAACAATACATTCTCGTAGTTCGTTGTATAAAAAGTCTCAACCGCTATATACAAGTGCTTTTGTTGTATAAAGAGCAATGTAATTTCCGTGCGAGGATCGCTACTAACCTAAAGTGCTCGTTATGTACCGAATGTAATATTGTGTGACCATCACTACTTCTGTTGTTATACGGCATGCAATGTTCGTGCAAATAGCACTTCATGTTTGTGCTTTTGTTTTAGGGCATATACAGTTTGCATTCGACCGTTTGACACGACTTTAGCAATGACTTCCTACAGATTTTGCATTGATTTATACTAGACCTTTTGCCAATGCTTCGGTATGGACGAATCGTGCTAGGCACATCTAATAAAATATTCATGTAGACTATGAGTTCGACGTGACACATCGTAGACTTCTATAGTGCATGGTTAGGCGAAAGCCGTGTTCTGTTAACTGAAACATCGAACAATGCAGTACAATATAGATTTAAGCGCTGTACATGGGCTGACGCCGTATTAAATCTTAATATTAGTATGTGATTAATATAACCAGGAGCAAACCAGAGTTGTTAGATTCAGAGGTAATCTTACAAGCACACGGAACGAATAGCACTTGTTTATGGTCAGAGTAACACTAATATATACTACGTACATGGTTTGTGGTAACAGTAGTAAAAGGTGATCGGGGTGTTAATAGTCAGAGGTAACAACACATTAGAGACAGGTAACACAAGTATATGGTTAAAAAAAAGAGGTAACAATATTTCATGGTTATAAACAAGAGGTTACACAAGTACGTGGTTATAAACAAGAGGTTATACAAGTACGTGGTTATAAACAAGAGGTAACACAAGTACGTAGTTATAAACAAGAGGTAACAATAGTTCATGGTTATAAACAAGAGGTTACACAAGTACGTAGTTATAAACAAGAGGTAACAATAGGTCATGGCAATAAACAAGAGGTTACACAAGGACGTGGTTATAAACAAGAGGTAAAACAAGTACGTAGTTATAAACAAGAGGGTACACAAGTATGTGGTTATAAACAAGAGGTTATACAAGTACGTGGTTAGAAACAAGAGGTAACACAAGTACGTAGTTATAATCAAGAGGTTACACAAGTACGTGGTTATAAACAAGAGGTAACACAAGTACGTAGTTATAAACAAGAGGTTACACAAGTACGTGGTTATAAACAAGAGGTTACACAAGTACGTGGTTATAAACAAGAGGTTACACAAGTACGTGGTTATAAACAAGAGGTTACACAAGTACGTGGTTATAAACAAGAGGTTACACAAGTACGTGGTTATAAACAAGAGGTTACACAAGTACGTGGTTATAAACAAGAGGTAACAATAGTTCATGGTTATAAACAAGAGGTTACACAAGTACGTGGTTATAAACAAGAGGTTACACAAGTACGTGGTTATAAACAAGAGGTTACACAAGTACGTGGTTATAAACAAGAGGTTACACAAGTACGTGGTTATAAACAAGAGGTAACAATAGTTCATGGTTATAAACAAGAGGTTACACAAGTACGTGGTTATAAACAAGAGGTAACAATAGTTCATGGTTATAAACAAGAGGTAACAATAGTTCATGGTTATAAACAAGAGGTAACACAAGTACGTGGTTATAAACAAGAGGTTACACAAGTATGTGGTTATAAACAAGAGGTAACAATAGTTCATGGTTATAAACAAGAGGCTACACAAGTACGTGGTTATAAACAGAAGTACGTGGTTAAAAACAAGAGGTAACAATAGCTCATGGTTATAAACAAGAGGTTACACAAGTACGTGGTTATAAACAAGAGGTAACAATAGTTCATGGCTATAAACAAGAGGTTACACAAGTATGTGGTTATAAACAAGAGATAACAATAGTTCATGGTTATAAACAAGAGGTTACACAAGTACATGGTTATAAACAAGAGGCAACAATAGTTCATGGTTATAAACAAGAGGTTATACAAGTACGTGGTTATAAACAAGAGGTAGCACAAGTATGTGGTTATAAACAAGAGGTAACAATAGTTCATGGGTATAAACAAGAGGTTATTCAAGTACGTGGTTATAACCAAGAGGTAACAATAGGTCATGGCAATAAACAAGAGGTTATTCAAGTACGTGGTTATAACCAAGAGGTAACAATAGTACATGGTTGTAGAGAGGTGAAGTGTATAGTACGTGGTTATAACCAAGAGGTAACAATAGGTCATGGCAATAAACAAGAGGTTAGACAAGTACGTGGTTATGGGGGAGAGGTTACACAAGTATGTGGTTATAACCAAGAGGTAACAATAGTTCATCGTTATAAACAAGAGGTTGCACAAGTACGTGGTTATAAACAAGAGGTAACACAAGTACGTGGTTCTAAACAAGAGGTAACAATAGTACATGGTTGTAGAGAGGTGAAGTGTATAGTAAGAGTTAGGAGTACCATGGTTTGAGACAGATGGTTCAATGGTTCACGAATGGCATTAACGGCAAGGTGAGTTATCTTTAGTCCTATTCCGAAAGATCTGGACATAAAACTATCGCTTTTGCATTATTTCAACACCGTAATAAGTTATAGTTGAAGACCCAAATAAAACATCGGAATTCAGATATGTGATCTTTAGTTATTAAACTTTAATGACACAAAACAAATTCAGTTTAGTCTGTGAGAAGACATAAAGGCTGATGCCGGCTTTAAAATTGTACGCACATATACAAGTTTATGTTTTTCTCCAGACATATCTTTGCTTTCCAAAATGTTGTTTACGGGTGGCGGGAATGTAAAAGTGATACAACAATCTAATATCCACTTTGCAATTCCCCATCGAAGTCGCAAACACTGGTGGATACTGTCAGAACTTCGTTGACCTTGCAATTCAAGCTGATATTTTCCTCATTGCATTGTGAAGAATATTATTTCATAAGAGTTTAAGAGTTGAATTATATAGTGTTGGGGGGGGGGGGGGGGGGGGGGGGAGCGGTAAAATATCATTATAATCCTAAAAATTCTTGGTGGTATTGAGGTTTTGGTTTATAAGGGCAATGGGCTTTCAGTTTGAGATGTCTATATCAGAATGACTATGGAAAAATCCTGACTGTGGTTTTAAAGCCAAACAGAATAAGGAAGGATAATAGAAGCGTCGTCATCTGTTCCTTTACATATACTTATTTACAGCAATGAGCGGTGGCGATAAAGCCATTGTCCTAAATGCTTATTGTTATCGGGAAATATTTAAATAACATTTCTCATTATCATACATCACAATTATTATATATTTAGACAAAACCCCGCTGCCCTCTTTTCCAAAATGTCAATGCCCACACACAATTTTCAGGATTAATTTGACATGTCACTGCTTTAAAGCACTCTTTACTGAAATGCAACTATTAACCTCTTTCTAAAAAGCAGAAAACATACTCTACCCAAACACTTCCCAAACCCCTTACATTTGCATAACATTTTGGGTAACAAGATAGATCTGTAAAATTATAAAAGTACTTTGACCTGCCTACGTGATCTCCGTCTCGCTTTGATGCCGATACCACTTATCTCTCGATACTAATACCCCACTAGTGAAGCTATAGGGTACACGGTGGTCACGCTGAACTTTATTTCCCTACTGCATCCTCGATATCCAGGGGTTACGCTCACTTTTGCTCTCTGCACCCCTGGAATATGTCAAAGTAATATTGAAGGCACGCGGCTGGCTATTTGATTACTTACTTAAAGTAACTTATAGTTGATTTCCAGTACAGGAACTATATATTTCCTATACACCGGACTAGTCGTTTAATTCCAGTGTTGGTCTGTAACTTCCGTGTAACCCTGTTCTAATTTAAGCTCTATTATTTACAACAGCTCCTGTTTATTCGAGGCCTTGTCCAGTCTGTTCTTAAAAGTGTTTGTGTTTGGTGCGGTGGCTATGGCCCTGGCAAATAGTTCCAAATTCTGGCTACTCTCAGCGAGAAGAAATTATGTCTCAAACTTGATTTGGCCCT